ATTAATGACAATAAAATGTCATTTTCTGCCATAACTCTAAGCCTGGAATGTCTTGTGTCACAAGAAGTCCAGTCCTTGTGCACATCTTATATATTTCTTCAATACTACTGTATAAGGACCTACTTGGGAGCATATCTAAAACCCCACATAAATTATAATATCTTCAGAACCTGGCAGCTTGAAATCTGATGAGGTCACGCGCATGAGGTTCCTGTCTCAACTTGGTCTTAAAATCCTTCAATTAAGATTATGTTCAAGGTTCTACTTCTAGCCAGAATGTTATCTGTGACCTGTGCTCATCTGATTCTGGTTTTATTGTGTTGTGCTTTGAGATGATTGCTTTTAAAGGTGCCTTGGAATGTTTTTATTATCACTTCATTGAGTAGATCAATGGCTAACTGAATTTCTCAGACCAAATAAGAAGAAAGCATTTTGCATAAGAATGACTTTTAGTATTCTCTTAAAGGAGGTTTGTGACTGATTTTTTCCCTCCTTGTCTGGACACAATTCTCATTCAATCTGCCGTTTTCAGTCTGTCTCTCTTTCTGCATTAGTCACTTTTTTGCCCTGATAATGTAAGGCTCCAGTAAAAATAGTTAAGAAAAGCAGTAGAACACTGAGAGATATAGAGGGCAGTTTTCACTGTCTGAACAAAGAGTGGGCAGAGTATCTGTGTGCGTTTTAAATTGGAGTGAGTGTGGACCACAGGAAAGGTCTTGCTTTAAGTCTGGATCAAAGTGACTACAGTACCAATCAAATGCATTCTGACAACACTGTGAACAGGTAAAATAGACAGGTCATTAACATGTACTGGCTCAGCCAGGTGCTTAGATTTATCTTCATTTGATCTGTTTTAATTACAGATTTCTGTTCATACTTTTAAAGGTCAAGTTCTAAATGGGTACAATGATCGGCATAAAGGATGTCATACACCATAAATTAGGAAAGCAGGCCAAAAATGTTCATCTTAATGAGTCATTCCATCTCAAGATTGAGATTTGTTTTAATATGGACAGCATGCTGTGAACAAAAGCCTAGTATTGCAGGATGTTTGCAGATAAGCACTGACATACTGAAATGTGTTATTAGCTCAGAACTGTTTACTAAAGGTTTGTGAAGGGAAAATCAAACTGCTTATGTGACAAAGGCAGTAACAAGCATCTTTCAGTGCGCTAAAGTCTAGTTAGCATCTAGAAAGATGATACAACTGTTTATTTACTTTCCAAAAATTTTTTTTTAATTGAAAATAATACAGTTTAGTGGCAATTTCTTTCAGATTCCATGTGGGACTGGTCCATGAGTACATTAACTCCTGTCAGACTTCAAACTCCCAAGTAAAATATGTGTATGGGATGTGTCAATAGAAGCATTTTTGCTGTCAAAAAATGTATCATGTTGTGCTTTGAAAAAGAGGTAATTTTCTTTTTTAATCATTATCATATTTTATATTCTTAGCTGCATTGTCAGTGATTGTGTTAAATGACTATTTGTAATCAGTATTTTGGCTTTGGGTACAATTAAATAAGAATTGTAACAGGTTTCCCTGTGCTTTTATGGAATCTTAACAGAGACTTGCACTGTCAATTAACATAAACACAAAACTTTTTAAATATTTTGGATATTAGAGTGTTGTATTGCATAAGCACAACAAAAAAACAAACCATTGAATACAGATGCTTAGTTCAATCCAGTGAGATTCTCTGTAGATGATCAAATTCTTTTATAATCTTCTATACTGGCTACTACCTTTACTATACAGTAATTAAGGACTTGGGAAATGAGATGTGCTAAAGCCACTCATGCAATGTATATAATGATAATCCTGAGCGGAATGGACAGGGGAAAGCACAAAGAAAATATTAAATTCTCAATAAATGTCACTACTGCAGTAAACAGTGATTCCTAACATAATAAGATTTATAATAAACATCATTGAGCAGGGAAAGTAGTCTCTATGTGGCGTGAATATTTGTAATATAAACTTAACACCTCATAAAATGCACAGCATAATATCAGTGAGTTTAAATTATGATACATATAAAAAAGTCAGCAAAAAGGAATTAAATTGTACATACTGTACCGTATGACATATAACTGTATTTATTTTTTTTCACTCTTTTATGAAAATGTCCATTGTTACTAAAATGATCAAATGCAACACATTATCACAAACTGTGTATGGTGTTTTGGAACATCTTAAGTCAGGAGTTACCCAACCCTAAAAATCAATCTTTAAGTAAACCTGTGTTTCTGTGGTAGAAACTGCATTATTTGTTATATCAGTCCTGTGGTACTATTCCTG